AAACCACCACTGCACTTCAGGGATGGGGTTCCCAACCACTTCACAGTGCAGCTCTGCGCTGTCACTGATCAGTTTCATCCGAGACATGGGGGATTTGATAAACCCCGCTGAGCAACGTGTACAGCCAGCCCAGCAAACAGAGATTTTAAGTATTGTTTAAAGGCGATGGGTTTAAAGCAAGCCATGTGATTTAATGGATTGGTGATAAAAGGCCGAGATAGAACAAAGACAAGCATACAGGAAAAAGAAAGAAAAAGAGACAACGTTAATAGAACACAAATGAAATGAAGCACATAGAACAAAGATCAGAGCATCATTTTCCACAAGTTATTTTGGTAAATAAATATTAGTTTCTGGCACTCTGACAAATGCAACCTAAAGAGGTAATTACGGATGAGCCAAGCTGATGTTTTTTTATATTTAAAAACTTTACAGTAAGTAGGGATTTTAAATGTCAGTGTGATAGTCGTTTAAAAGGCTTTAAAAGTACTTGAATTAGCAATTATTGAAAAACAAATGTTGTCAATCTTGGAATAAGCTTGATCAAGGCATCCCCAAAAGAGTTAAAGCATAAAAAGACAAAGACATTAAAAGCATCCAATAGCATTCCCATGAAATCAAAGCAATGTGGAATGAATGAAATATAAAGAAAAAGGCAGATGAGCTTCAAATGAAAAACATATCACCAAAAAATCCATGAAAGCCTTGGACAGGCAAACATTTCGGGCTGTCCGTGTAACTCGTGACATCCAACAGTGGTAAGGGTGTTAAACTGTGCTAACACCTATTTTTCCAATCCCCACTGAGAGGCGCCAACATTCAGCATTGGTGTATTTACAAGGGAAAACATTTAAAGCACTTCGGTTGCACTGAGCTGTGTGAAGGAATTATTTGTCCTTTGACTTTATGCTCACGAATTGTAGTCCCATAACATACCCTTTCTGATGGATTTACTTTAAACTTAAACATTTGTTTTCTTCCAAGAATTGAAGATCTGTATTTTCATAATAGGCAGGGAGGACTTGTTTGTCCTCTCAGTGGTGGCCAGGGGGGGAGGGGGTCAAAAATAAAATACCATTATCACGCTACAGGCCAATGCACGGCCAGCTTTTCAACTCCTCTCATAAAAACCTTAACTAATAGAGCAGAAGAAAACCAAGAATAAAAACGCCACAAATGAACATGGAGTCAATCAGACAAAACAAAAGAGGACCACTTTTAGATAACTTTCACCGAGACCCTCATTCTCTTTTCAAATATCATGTAACCTATGAAGGAAGCTTGGTGGCTTCCATCAGCACTACATAAAAGGTCAACTTCGTAGCACATGATTAACTTTAGCCCCCTGCTCTTTAGCCCTGGAGCCCTTTCAGAAAAAAAAATGTCATAGCTAATATTCTACCTTTGTGTATGATTAACATTAAGTGAATTGCCTGAACAATGTACAAAGGGATTGAAAACCTTAAAGCATACTGTACATGGAAAAACATATAATAACAAATGTCATGCAGATAGCAAATAAACCATAACCATGAGGATACGTGCTCATAACTTAGAGTGAGAAAGAGTTGGTTAAAAAATTAACTCAAGCAGGAATTTACTGATCCTATTACAAAGTCAAAGGGTACACACAAAGCTTAAAACATGTGATCCTCATGCCACTCAACAGTTGGGTGACAACGTGTATTGACATGTTTAAGATGAACAGGAAAAGATAGTCTGTGATTTCCATTAGTGACCCAGACAGCAGCAACCCTCCATCGTTTGATTTATCCCACTACAGCTTCATAATAAATTCGAAATAGTTTTACACTTCTCGATGGGAACCACCAAAGAGCAAATGTAGCCGTTAAAGAGCACCATATTTATGTATTTCATTTAACTTTAAAACGCATGACTCCACCCAACCTAACATCTAACAAAAGAATGTGGGAAACACTCCTCGTACAATGCAAGAACCGTTCCAATAGAAAATGGATGCCAGTGGTGCAACATGCAAAAAACAATGACACTCGTAGAAAACAGGCACACTGTTAAGAGGCCATGATATGTGTTCATTTCAGCCTTTCAAATACTCTGACAAGGTCACTGTTTGGAAATAAACAACTGATGGAGGAGGGGGCAAATACTTGTCACATTCAACAGACATAAAATCCTTTGAATATGACCAGATTTGTCAAGCTTTCAGTTTCCAGTGTAGAGTGATCTAGTAGCCAACCTTTTAGTCACTCAGTTGTGGTGGAATAAAGATGTATCAACACTAAGAAGTATGTCAACTCCCACAACCAAAATACAACAACCTGTCACTGTCTGTGTCGACTGCAATAGAATCATTTGAGTGAAGCAGGTTGAGCAGCCGGGATTTTAAAATGGTGGTTTGTTTTTCCTACCATTTAGCAAATGATTAGGACCTTTAAAATTTAAATTTAAAAGACAAAACAGAGGAAAATGACTCAGTTTGCATATTAGGAAGTGTGCTCTTTCAGAAAGCATGAACCCATTTCAACAGTATTCCATTTTAATTACGTAAAAAGGCATATATTTCATGAAATCAGACATCAAAATCCTAAGCACTACAACAACTGAATAACTCCCATTCGTATAAATGGCGTCCTATGTATTCACTATTGTATTTAAAGTCTTACAAGCTCATTAAGGGATGATCGTTCATAGAGATGTGGCATTAGGGTAACAATTTGAAGGTGGCTTTATTATAAAATGTAAAACATAACTGCTATATGCACAGCTAACGGCAGAAGTAAGCATCGCCATAAATATGGCTCACACCCAATTCCAAGGAGCATTTAAGCCAAGCCTGTTATTTGCCATAATATCCAACACTGACACCCATGTCACGTGACGCAACCAACAGGTAATTCATTGTGCTTTCTGTAACTAAGAGAATAGCTTTATTTCCACAGTAATGGTATTCAAATGTGACACATGCCATCATACGAGTTGGGCAAAGAAGGTCAAGCGGCAGGTCATTCAAAGACCCTCAATACAACATCTCTACCCTTTTAATGGAAAGCTGGGAGGGAGACTGTTTTTATTTAAGCATATTCAATTATCAAGAATAATACCTACATGTGATTGATTTTGATGACTTATAACTTAATTTATGGGGCAAAATACATCATCTCTAGGTGAGTGGCCCTCAGGGAAAAATGTGTGGACACCCCTGCTATAGTAGTACAAGTACTGCAACAGAAAATGACAGGCGGCTGCCAATACTGTATTGTGACAGCTGATACGCATCGTGTTGATTGGGCCTAATGTTACTGGCTCACAGAAAAGACAACCAATGGCCGGTCTATCAGAACAAACCACCAACTATGCCCATGGGGGATCTTCTAACGTCACAAAGCAATGCTCCAGTTCCTTAAATGCTGTGAGGAAACCTATTACAAATCTAAAATTACTATTGTACCCTCAGGGTGAACGTGAAGACAGCAGTTAACGATAATTACTGACGGTTACCATAACTTACCAACGTTACGCAACTGTCATTTAATTCAGTGGACAACAGCTAACTGAACCACCATACGCTTTAAATTAACGCCGTGTGAACGTTTACACCGCTAACATTTTATGAATATCTTACCTCGTTTCTTTAAAGCTGAGGCAGATAAAAAGACAAATCCAACGTTATGTAAATGGTGTTGTCACGAAACGGCCTGGTAAATCGTCCGAAAGGATTTTCCGACTAACGTTAAATGTGTCCATAGCGATAACACTAACCCAATGCAGCTAGCTCTAATACGTGACTGTTTCCTATTCACGCTGGTTACATTCCGTAATAATTGTATCTGCGAAAACATATTCGACAGAGAAAATACGTTTCATAACACTGGCTAATAAGAAGCAGAATTAACCATTGTTTAATGTTCTTAGGGTTAACCAGTAAGGGCAAAGTCAACGATACATTTTCTCCCAACATGGCTGACAAACAATTCTTACCTGTGGACGCATTGGCTCGCCAACAGCTCAACAGCAGGGCACTGACAGCCCACAGTAAGTTCATGGTGGATGATTAAGTATTAACTAAGTCGTCGAATAAACACAATGTTTAATTCGACGGGCGGAATCTTCTTCCTCCTTTTCCTTCTGAACTTCCAGCGAGATGTGGACCCTGAAATGTTTCAGTTGATGTCGTCCTCTGGTTGCACCTCACGCATACGCCCTGATCAGCACGTAAACGTGACGTAATACTTTAGAGGCGTGGCCACGCTCTCGGTCGCCATCATGAATGGACCTCTTTCTAAACCTATTTAACAGTGAGAAGTACTCAGATGTTTTGCAAAGTAGCAATAATATATTGTAAACATACCCTGTTTACGAAGTAAAAGTCCTGCATTCAAAATTGTACTTTAAGTAAAAGCACACATTTTCCAGTAACATATCGGACCATATCAGATTTTTTTTAAATACATTTTTGTTTAGGTTTTTTAAATTACTTGCTATAGGCTACTGTTGGGTTAACCTATACTGATTAATTGGTTGATTTATATTCTCTATTGTGAATCCATACCGGCAAAGTAGCTAGTAACTATTTAAAAAAAGAATGTAGTGTAATAAGATGTAAAAAATTGCCTCCAAAATGTAGTAGAGTGAAGTATAAAGTAGCATAATGCGAAAATAAGTTAAATACAAGTACCTGAAAATTGTAATTGCGTAGATGTACTTAGTTACATTCCACCCCTGATATTTCATGATCATATTTCTGTTATTTAAAAAAAATAGGCTCAATTTAATGGTATTAAAGGAAAAGTGGTGAAAGTTCCATTTCCATGTGTTTCAGGGGAACAACATTTTAAAGGGATGTTAATGTAAAATGTAATAAAGTCAAAACAGAATAATTATGTCGATGTTTAAGAGAACACCTTTTGTATCACATATTTACAGGACTAGCATGCACATCAGTAAACTCAATACAGTGTCTAAAGGAAATTCGCCCATATGTTGGTGAATACCAAAAATTGGGTAATGAATTGTCTGCATTATTTAAAATCTGATTTATGAGGTTAGTACTGGGTAAGAAACAATTGATCAGAAGGCATGGACCAGGCTCAGCACACCATTTAAAAAATGTAGGCTGTAATCAGTGACCATAATGACACATAACACAATTGAGATATTAGCAAAGAAATATCGAGATGATAGAAATATTTCTTCGAAGTTGGCTGTGAAATGGGAACTTGGAGAGAAAGCAATGAAAAACATGTAAGGCAAATTCCAGACAACCCAATAGTTGAATTAAGACTACTACAACCCTGCCTATTAAAAATGCATTTTAAATGTTTTCACTTGTTTGTTATTGAGTTATTTGTTTAGTCACAAAATCTGAATCATTTCTAGAAGTGAGCTGCAACACTTAAAAAAGATACACATACACACACTTTTACCGAGCTAAAAAAGTGGTTTTAGACATTGAATCTGTAGTCACTGAACATTAAAACACCATTTCATTTTTTAAGGTAAATAGTTACACAAGAGGTTCCGTTCTTAACAATCCCCTCAGATGAAAGGCCTTTGAACCCTAACCCCCGGGGAGAAGAGGTACAATGCAGAGGAAATACACCCATATTGCTTAACAATAAAAGGAAGCAGAATATTTTTGGCTTGTTGATAACATTTCACGAGTTCAGGACTTTCTCTGAAAGTACAAAATGGTCACGAAACCTTATATAATAATAATGGTTGGTCCAAGAATCGGCAAGATGTCCTTAAAAGGGACATACATTATACTGGGGGAAATCAGACTATAGCTTGCCTGTTTTCAAAAAAGCTTTACCGTATTACATATTTTTTTGTTCAATTATTGTGATTTGCTGTACAAACTACATTTTGGAAAATGTTCTTGTTTCACCGTACTTGTGTCTAACAGACTTTGTCCCAGTGGTTGACCATGTATGTTGTCACTTTATGAAACAAGCTCAATTTTCATAATAAGACTTCAAATAGGATTATATACACACCCAAACACAGACACAGAGAATGCTTTACATGAATTTTGAGTGGTAGCACCCAAACAGCTTTATTTTCATATCATTTTTTTTTTTTGACACGACCATACTGCAAATCAATAGATTTCAACTGGCAACTTTAGAAAATATTTAATTTACCTTTAAGTTAAAAATGCAAAAAAGCAATGAAATGTTTCTAATTATTTTTAGGCTTGCAGATAACACAACAAAATCCTAATATGTTTAATTTGATTTTTGATTTTCCAAACGGCACCAAATTACTGCAATTTGACGCTTCATTTTCAGTGCAAACAACAGTACCTGTATGGTCTCAGGTCATCTGTAAGTGGATCTTGAAAATAAAATCATTTCATAAACTATTTTGTTTCGAGATTAAAACAAATCAAATGTAATATTCTAAACCACGAAGAAACTGAAATGCACACTAATCGTGCACTTTGGGTCATTTTATCAGAGATATGAATGCTACTTATAAAAAGGAATAACTGTACATTTGTTTTTGCCTCATTTGCAAAAGAGACTGTCTCGTTGTCCCGAGTCTTCTACCTTTGGATCCCTTTGTTTTCTCTTCCTGTATGAGGGGATTCGAGCCCTTTTGAAGTACTTCTCCACATCCGCCCTGACAGAAGCTGCACTCCCTCCGCCTTTCCTTTGTTCAGATCCCTGATCAAGGTGGGAGCAGCAGGGCAGGCAGAACTGCATGGACCTCACGTATCACTTACCCCTGATCAGGCTCCAGTGCTCCTGGCCGCTGCTCAGGTCCCTACCCTACAGCGGGGGGGACTGGAGGTCACAGCTCTGAAGTACAGCAGCCTAGGAGCTATAAACAGCTCGTAGGGTGATGAGGACAAGTGGTCCTCTATGAGTTATCAGTGGAGTTCTCATTGCTGGTCGAACTCGAGGACTGAGGTGTAGAGGAAGATGAAGAGGCGGAGGAGGAAGAGGAGGAGGGGGTAAAGTTCATCCCTGATAGTTCTGGAGGGTTTGTTGCCGTGTTCTGTCCACTCAAGCTTTTCCTGCACACTGGACAAGTGTCATGCTGGAGAGAAAGAGTGATAAAATAAGCTCTGTAACGGATATTGATGATACTTCCACATCACACAGTTCGATATATCAGACATAAGAAGGCTGAGGTGCATTACCTGTTCCAGCCAGGGGACTATGCAGTCATTATGGAACATGTGATTGCATGGGAGCTGCCTCACAATCTCTCCAACACTGTAATCGTCTTTACACACTGAACATTCCAGTCCTGAAGCTGAAAACAAATGTGTAAATAACATTATTTGATATGATTTGTCAAGTAGTTTGGGACAAGGGGTTTAAAGAAAAACAAACTGCAACAGAAATGTTTAAAATAAGATGTGATAATGAAGGGTTGGTTTTTTTCAGAAAGAGGGTAGGATGCTGTGCTGCTGGGCGACTTGACTTAAGCTATGCTGAGTGACTAGCGCTCTAAAACAGGATGTGATGGGTGTGTTCAGTACCTAGGATAACTATAAAAACAGCACATATAGATGGACTTTAAACATGTTTGAATTCAAAAAAGATTCTGTCTACCAATAAGTCAGATTATACCTCCAATAAGATTTTTTTTTTTTCATCCCTTTGAGCTCACTTGTTGAAAAACTTGAATCAAACATTCTTAAATGTTTAAAGCTACATTTATTGAAGGTGGCTAGTTTGGCAAAATGGTTAATGCATTGAAATACCACTGATGTATTTGGCGCACTCAACTTTCAATACAAAATTAAATGATATCTCTGTACAAACAATGTTTCATCTTATATATTTGAAGGAAAAAGAAAACCAGCCATAACACATTATATTACACTCCAGAAAATGGTTTAACTTACCAACGTGATCCTCTGTAATATGAACTATAGGAAGGGTTTTTATTTTATCCCTGTCAGCAGGCGGAGGACCCGTGTTCTCAAACTGGTTTAATAACTAAAGACGAGAAAAAAAGACGGACAATTATTTAAATGTAGTTTGCATGCTTAATACTGCAGATATAACATGTGTAAAATGTTCAAACAAATCCCTACTGGAAGTAATCACACATGAAACTATTTAAAACAATGAGGACTTCTTAATAAATACCTGAGTTATAATTGCATCTAGTCCATTAGCACCCCAGGCATAATCCATAGGATTTGAGTGAAGAACACCCCTTAAAAAGAACAATCAAACATTAGAGCAGTTAGGAGACACCGAGTGCATTTTGTGGAGAACTCATTTTTATTGTTAAATATAGATCCGTGCCTGATACTCACCAGGGTCCAACACCAATATTTGGCATTGCAGTGGGTGCAATTATTCCATTCACCAGTTGCTGAATGATTCTATAATAGAAAATATAGCACTATTATAAATTAGAACAAGTGATCCACTATTAAGGAACCTCTTAGTCCCACTCATGCTTGAGTTCTGACTCAAGTCCCAGTCTGTACTCTTACCCCTCTAAAGTGGGAACTCCCTCTGGCCTCCCTGCTTGTCGCCTTGAGCCATGACGACTTCTCGGTTGCCTCGCACCATATCGTTGCCGTGATGTCGTTTCCCTTTCTCGCCTGTTTTCTGCGTCCCTGTTGTCCTCTGTTCCCAGCCCAGCTCCGAAGTCGAAGCGGTCGTCGAAGACACCCAGGGCAAACTGGCCGTAGCCCGAAGGGAATGTAAACATGTGCTGGTCGGGATTCTGGGAGAAAAACAGGATTGCTGTAATCTTGATGGTAGAAACATGTGAAGCTTTGCAAGTCCTCTACATACCTGCAGCTATTTATTGTACCAACAAACACCTGAAGCACTAGAGTTTTGTTGACAGTGAGGTCAAATTTCGAACCAATGGAAATGCATGCCGGCAAAGAGAACCCCCCTTTAACTTTAGTAACATCATCATCACATCCTCAGTAACATTTAAAGGTTACCCTACAGCACTAACATAACCTACATATCAGGCCATCACTGTTACCTGTCTTTGGGCACAGTTATAACAGCCCAATCAATTCGATATAACATTACAGAGACAGAATTTGTTCCGTTAGAAAAGCAGAAGTGGAAACTATGACAAGACTTCCATCCTGTGCAGTTCTAGATGAGCAAAACATGCAGATGGAAACCATTTCAGGAAATTCTGACACATTATGAAACCTTGTAGTGAAAAAAGGGATTGATACCTCAAATGGTTGCTGGTTCTGGGGGGCACTGGAAATGGTAGACGTGGAGCCATTGTCAGCACTAAACAGGGGACAAGTGGTTACTAAGGGATGCTTTATCATAGTTTACATAATTTGCAATTATGAAATCAAGCTTTTCTATGACTTATTTCTTCCCCAATTGTTACTTGATCTAACATATGAAGGTGTTGAAATGTAAAAGGTTTAAGGGGTTCGTATACTAAATATCAGCTTAGGCATGTTCATAATCGGCTTTATTTGCCAATTATGTGAACCCTACTATACAGTATACACAGTTGTGAATGATGGTTCATTTTATGAAAATAAGGATATTTAGATAATAAATAATTTCCTTTACAAAGAACATCTATGAAGTTACATTACACATAGGGAATGATTGAATACTTTTCATAACTCTCTTAGAGGTACAGTGTAATAGTCACAAAAAAGGGCCTTGATTAGGAAAACTGGGCTCAATATAAAATGCATACACACCTTCTCTCCTCCAGCAGTTCCTCAATAAACCCTGAATCACATCTTGGACATGTGTACTCCTGTAAACAAACAAAATGTTATAAAAGCCAGCACGCCTACCATCTCAACAAAGAAAAGCAGTGTGAAATGTTTGAAGGTCTGACAAAAGACTGTTGGGCAAGCAACACCCAATTGTTCTATTCCTTGTAGTGAGTAAACATTACAGGTCATCTTCTCTGACACTGTTGAAAGTGGCACTTCTGAAATATATGTTTAACACCTGGGAGTTGTACACACTAGGCCAGAGGTACCAGACAGATTGGAAGACTGGAATATACCATGCAACACTAATACATATGTTTGACTTCATTTCTTAATGTAAGGGAAAGCATACAGCGATGGTGGCAGGTGAGATGACCTGAAGTTTTAGTAGCTGCCACAGCCAACTTTAGCCTTGCCTGGATTTGGCAGGTGCTTATTTCCTTTTGTGTGTCACTATTTGATAAGGACACTGTAATCGGTAAGCCAACACAAAGGTCACCAGGTCACCAACTGGATTTTATTTTTGATCCATTTAGGACATCCACCGGCAGAGATGTAAATCAGGTAGTGGATTGCATACGCCCAACCACCAGAATGAGCTACGACTTCTCTCCCAGGCTCCAAACACACCACATCATCCTTGTGCTTTTTCTTAGTATATATAGATGTGTTGTCCTTATGTTTGTTTTATGATAGTCATGTGTCAATCAGATGCATATGAGATGGCTGAAATTACAAAATAAAATTAACCTGAACTCAAAATAACTAAAATAAGTGGCTATTAATAACGACAACACAGCAGTTGGGGTGTTAATGTGGCCACAGGCCCAACCAGCATCCTACAGAAACCTATGGCTGAGCTTTGCATTGTGAAGAGCACATTTACAGCTCTGTGACAGATCATTCTAGCCCCTAACAAGCATGCCACTTGTGTGCTTTTATTGAATAGCAAAACAAGAAAAGGATGCAGTGGCATTGTTGCTGTTGGAGTGATTAACAACCAAGCAAACATAGTAAGGACAGCTTCTCACAAATGAAACGAATACCCGAAGTCGATCATTTGAGGCGATCAGTGTCAAAGAGTAGACCGTTTTTGTTAGTGAATATAGCTAACAGTTAGGCTAACATACCCCGTCAAACGCAGAATAATCAACGAATTATCCAGCCAAACGATGTTATAAATGACACATGACAACGCAGCAGTGGCAGTTGCGTAATGACTACGTAGTATAAGTTTGTATGCTGGTGGATTTACTACTTAGATAACAAGCTAACTAACACTGTATTAGCGTTAGCAAGATAAACGGGACCCTCGTAGTAGCCAGCTAACACTGTTAGCATGCTAACTGTTGGGGCCGTTGCTAAAAAGCTTTCCAATAAAGTAACGACAACACCACTTTTGTTTTAATTTGTACAACTGAATGCATGTTTACTTTATGTATACGGTACTTACGGGAAGCCGAGGACTAATCTCTGCGGAGCATCTGTGACAGAAGAACCGGCTGGGCCATGGAGGAGCTTCAGCCATTTTTAACAACTAAACAGGTAGAGAGGTGGAGGAAGGACTACGGAGCACCGGAGAGGTCAATGTTGACGGAGCGAGAAAATACAACAAACGTACATTAGAAATAATAATAGGCCTACAATATAAATGTGTTATATATGAAAGATGAAAATGTAGAAAAAACAAGCAAAATCAATATTACTGGATACGTTATATATTCTATCCTATAATTACAGATTAGGATTGTGAAATTGAAAATGGATTAATTTGGCTTTTTATTTTACAAAAGGTGTAAACATAAGAAATTCAAACCAGGCTTATTTTACTGTTGAATTATCTATGTATTTGCATTTCCAAAAGACTAACCATTATGTGTGATAAAGAATATGGCCACATGGTGGTGCTTTTGTGTACCAATTGATGAAGAGTTTTACTGTACTTCACATGGTAGCCAGGGACTGAGGACACAATACATTCTTGCTATATTAACTTAAGAAATGATGAAATATTCATTCAGGTTATTATATCTTCGGGTTAACCAGGTTTAGTTGTCCTTAATTCATACTCACATACCAATGAAAACGTCTGTATTATGTATCACCACAATGTGTCTCCATTGAACTCCAGTAATATTCCTGATCAGGGCCTTCTTATGTCCCTGTTCACATATAAACCAGAGATGTGTTTTTGCAATCTTGCACGGCACTGGATCTATTTTGACACATTTTACTTTTCCATTGAAGTCAACCACCTCTTGAGCCTAACTGTCATACTTAAAATGTTGAAAAGTAGCATCTGTTTGTTTGAGAAACGCATCTCGTCGAAGGTGGATTTGTGTGTTTCCTTGATTATTTGACAGTTGTTGTTGGAACCATTTTATCAAGTGTCAAATCAGACAAATAAATCAGTTAACAAATAGCCCTTCACATGGGAAAGACATTCTCTCGTCTTGTGTGGACACAGCCAAGTTCTTGTTGGCGGATATCTGTCGGCCCTGAGATAGCAGTGAAGTTCTTGCTTAGTTGCATAAATACTGGAGAAGAAAATGATTGATTTTGTTTTGTTTTTGGGTCTGTTTTTATTTTCGAGGCTGTAAATTAAAAATGTCCTCAATATTTTTGTTTCACAGGTATCCATAATGTGATTTCCATATAACTGCAGAGTGACGGCTGTAAAAATGTCTGCACTATCTCTGGTGCTTGGCGTCACATGTTGAGAGTAAGTAGGAGTTCCCATCCGACCTCTTATCAGCCAATCACATCCCTCAAACCATCTGGCCTGATATTTATTTTTTTCTAGATGAGAGTAACCCTGGATGCAATTAGTTTCTATTGTATTCATAATGTTGCAGAAAATCATTTTTGTCAAAAGTTCTAATACTGCAAGATGTTAAGTGGCCCAATGGTTTAATTTCCCAACATGGCAGGCAAAGATATGATTAGTTATATTAGGCATGGATGTTTTCTCAAAGCTCACAGTGTAACCTAACTCGTCTCTGGGCCGGCATTGTGTCTGAACTGGCCATGTGGGAGCGAGAAAGACACGACTGTCCCATGGGCTGAGATTAGAGAGGGTCTGATAGCATTGAGGTTTGCTATGTCTGCCTGGCTGAGGTAAGCTTTTGTCTCTCCGCGCCCAGTGCGTCACCGCCAGCCCAGTCAAATGCTCATTGTAGCAATTGAATTTGTGGAGTGGGTGACTTTGGGTCAGGGACAGGTCGTGAGAGCAGGAGAAAACATCTTTACCAGACAGAGCAATGATCACGTTGGACTTGAGTTGTGGTATTTGAAGACATATTAATACATTCGATTTTTTCATGCTGTTATTTGCATAAATGCTGTAAAACTCTGCAAGGGATTTGAATTATTCCTGCTGATGTGATAAACCCACTTTTAGATTGCACATGTATCGATGTAAAATCACATGCTGTAATACATCCACGTACAGTTTGTTGTTGTGTTCTCTGGCTTCTTTTTAAGGTTTATGTATTACACTCAATTACACTATGAGGTGATTAAGTGCTGCAGCCATGGCGGCAGACAGATATGCTGTAAGGGACACTGCTGCTTTTGTCACTCCATAGAGTTTTTCCAGACACTCCAGCCGGGATTGCCCCACATAGTCCCTCTGGGCCCCTCTAATCAAACTCGGGTACAAACATAAACACACACAGACACACACTCAGCAACAACAGCCGCCTGCTAGAACTTCCTGGGCCTCTTAGTCATGCGTCACTTGTTTTCAGTCCAACCCATCGAAGACTCTTTCTCCCTCCAGACACACTCTGTCTGAGGCCATGTGTCACAAGAGCTGTGCATCAGACACACAGCTGTGCATCAGACACACACACACACACACACACACACACACACACACACACACACACACAACACACACACACACACACACACACACACACACACACACACACACACACACACACACACACACACACACACACACACACACACACACACACACACACACACACACACACACATTTTTGTATAGCCTTCTCTTTTAGTTTCTTTTCCTAGTCACTTTAAGGTGCAAACTAGCAGTATGGTCATTCCCATCCAATTCAGCTTTACTCTATACATTTGTATCAATTAACACATTTTAGCATTCTCATGCGATAAACAAAGATATTGAACATGGGGAATATTATACTTGATAAACATTTGCGTTAAGCTCAAATGACTGCTATGACTAGCCTCACAGACGTGCTAGCATAGTTGTGGACTTTTATTCTTTATTCTCTTTATTCATATAAATGTCTTGTGGCTTTTTGGGGTTATCCTTTCCTATAGTGTGTTATGTAGGTTTTTGTGCTAGTGTAAAGTGTCTTCAAAGGCTAAAATCCTTGTGTTTCCTCCAGAGGGAGTTTCTCTCCCACACCACACACCCCGCCTGAAATGCCTCAATTGGACTCCTTTGTTTACTTCCGTAACGTAGTGACATCACAATGTAACGAGTGCTCTGACACATGATAGGCCAGGACATCTCTAAGCGGTTTACCAATCACAACAGAGCTGGCCTGCTAACCAATCAGAGCAGACTGGGCTCTGGTTTTAGACAGAGGGTGGAAAGAGGTGCTGCTGCGCAGGCAGTATGCGAATAAGATACTTTTCAACATTAAAGCATGTAAACATGTCACAGCAGAGGCACAAAACACAAATATGAAGCTGCAAATTAGCATGATTGGTCCCCCTTTTAAAAAAAGAATCCTAACTTGTCTATGATATCATGAGTAACAAAGAATCATTCACAAAAACCGAATGATGCAATATAGTGTAAAGTCAAAGGAAACACAAGGACACTGAGCACAAGATACAAACCATATCATGTTGGAAGGACATACTGTGATGTTATCTGTTCTACCCAGCCCATCCCACACATCAACACCAACTGAAAGACCTCCACAGCAGGGAAGAAAAGTTCCCAAGAAAAACAACAAAGCCTATCGCATTTCCACATAGAATTCCCCAAAAGGTGGATGAATGTGTAATGAAGGAGAAAAAGGACAATAACAAGTGTGTGTACAAGAGGAACACTTCAGAATATTATCTAATGGAGTATTGTTATTGGCTGGCATTCAGCTTTAGTTACTACTTTTCAGGTTACAGTTTTTCACACGCTTCCTCTCCAAGGAAAAAGCCTATTGACTTTTTCTTCTTTTTCCATTGAATCAAAATTGTACTTCTTAAACTGAATGCACTAAATAAAAACATCACGAATCAGCTGGAAAATGCGTTGTCACACAGGGATGTTTATCTGAGCACATGAAAAGTTGACTTTTTTAGGAATATGTGCTTCTCCCTGTAGATTTAACTAGCCAACATTATATAAAGGAGTTGAATTATGACAACATTGAACAGGCACGAGCACAAATAGACCCCAAAGGGGGCTTCAGCACCTGCCCTTTTGCCCTCCTATAGAGAAATGCCCTTATTCAAATATAATTTATATTTGTTGTGCACATGTAACCTAGTTCACAGAGTTCCTTGTGCTACTGAACAGTTAGAAAAACAAGTTGTGTTTTGTATTTTATGTCATGTGTATATTGAATCTGATTTCTTCCAAAGACATAGGCTACAATTGTGCCAAATTGCACTGTATTTAGTGTGTTTGCCTTTTATGTAAAAATGATCGATGACAAACATAAACCTGTCTAATACATACAATATTAGCATTTTCTTAGTGCCTGCTAAAGAATATACAGAATGCCTTTATGGAGAAGGTAGTAACTAGAAGAATTTACAGAAATACATTTAATTTATTTGCATTTACTTTTTAAATAGCTGTCTTGAAGCAGTGTGTGAACCAACCTGACAGTGATTTGTTTTAAAAACATACAATTTAATATTGCTTGAACAAAAATGAGTCATTGGCATATTTTTATTAGATTAGTAACAAAACTCGCCGATGTGCCGTTTTATGCAGTTAAGCCCCTTCCCCTCTAACATCCTCTGCTCGTGACTGACCTTGAACACAGCACAAAGATGCAAAATACATGCAGCAGCGATATTATCCAAACAAGAAGCCTCATATAAATAGACAAAACTCAATTTATTTTCTTCAAAATGAATACACACTTTTTATACTTTACTTTTGGTGATAGTACTAACATTCCTTCAATTGTACATTTTTAGAAAGTGGGACTTTCATGTGTGTAAAATGTGAACATTGTGGTGTTACTATTTTACTGAAAGAAAGGATTTGAATACTTTTTCACCATGGCATGCTGTACATACAGTATGGGAAAGTGTTTATATATTTGCGCACGCAGTTGTCTCGTAGCCTCCGCAGTACACAACAACAACAGTGGAACTAATGACATGATGCATGGCTGCAGTTACTCCTCTAATCTAAAACTGACCATCGGTGTGTTTACAAGATGTGCAGCTCTGTGGTCTGGAGGCTCCAATAGATACCATATGGGCCTCTGAGTTCATTTGTGGTACACTGTGCTACTTCAGCAAGCGGAGAATTGCCTAAAAGATTTAGCTTTGTCCTGCAGTGGCTCCCTGTTCAACTAAAATAAACGGTTGATATTGAGTGGGCAAGATATAATTAAATC